GCTCACTGCAACCTCTGCCTCCCAGGTTCAAATGATTCTCCTGCTTCAGCCTCCTGAGTAGCTGGGACTACAGGCGCAAGCCACCATGCCCGACTAATTTTTGCATTTGCAGTAAAAATGGAGATTCATCATGTTGGCCAGGATAGTCTCAATCTCCTGACCTCATGATCTGCCCGCCTCAGCTTCCCAAAGCACTGGGGGTCACAGGTGTGAGCCAGTGCGCCCAGCAGCCAGGACTTTTATTCACAAGCAGCTCTCTCATGTCTCACCCTTCCACAGCACCCAATACTATTTGCTTAGATATTTGGTGGTGAAATCTTTCAGCAGAGATGGAAGAACTAAGGGCCAAGGGAGGGCTCCAGAGGCAGTTGGGTTCCTTGCATCCTCTAACCTATAGAACAAATGGACAGAGGGGCTGGGTGCAGTGGCTCACATCTCTAATCCCAGCACTCTGGGAAGCCAAGGTGAGTGGATCACCTGAGGTCAGGAGTTCGAGACCAGCCTGGCCAACATGGTGAAACTCTATCTCTACTAAAATTACAAATATTAGCCAAGTGTGGTTGCGGGTGACTGTAATCGGAGGCTGAAGCAGGAGAACTGCTTGAACCCAGAAGGTGGAGGTTGCAACAAGCCGAGATTGCACCACTGCACTCCAGCCTGAGTGACAGAGTGAGACTTGGTCTCAAAAAAACCCAACCAAACAAAACAAAAGAACAAATCCACAGAAAGGAGGGGAAGGAGGCTGCCACAGCCTTGGGGTCTCTTTTCCAGGGGTCTTAATACATTCATTTTGCACATGAACAGCATTATGCCTTATGAACTTTGGTGCAGGCAGGAGAGCCATTAGAGGAATTTCAAGGCTGTGGTAGCTGATGACACCAGCATGTGACATGAGAGATCACCCGAGCCAGGAAGGAGCCCAGTTCCTTATCTCATATACACAGAAGCCAAGGGCCTTGTCCCCAGGGCCAGGATTGTTCAGCGCAATAGAATCCCAGACTCCCCACGTGGTAATCACTTTAATACTCTTAAAAAGAATTGCCACGCCCAAACAACACACACTCCAGGAAGAATTGGCATCTACTGCATGAGCATGGCCTTCAGGAAAGACTTTTCTGGCAGAGTGCAGTGACTCACACCTTTAATTCCCAGTGTTTTGGGAAGCCAAGGGGAGAATTGCTTGAGCACAGGAGTTCAAGACCAGCCTAGGCAATATAGCAAGACCTCATCTCTACAAAAATAAAAAAGATTAGCCAGGCGTGAAGGCCCACACCTGTAGCCCTAGGTACTTGGGAGGCTGAGGTGGGGGGATCACTTGAGCCCAAGAGTTTGAGGCTGCAGTGAGCTACGATCATGCCCCTGTACTCTGGCCTGGGTCTCAGAGCTAAACCCCATCTCTAAATACATACATGAATAATAAAAATAAAGAATGCTTTCTGGCCAGGCGTGGTGGCTTACACCTGTAATCCCAGCACTTTGGGAGGCCAAGGAGGGTAGATCACTTGAGGTCAAGAGTTCAAGACCAGGCTGGCCAACACGGTGAAACCCCATCTCTACTAAAAATACAAAAAATTAGCCAGGTCTGGTGGTGGGCACCTGTAATCCCAGCTACTTGGGAGGCTGAGGCAAGAGAATTGCTTGAACCTGAGAGGTGGAGGTTGCAGTGAGCTGAGATGGTGCTACTGCACTCCAGCCTGGGATGACAGCGAGACTGTCAAAAAAAAAAAAAAAAAAGCGTTTTCTGATCATGCTCTTGGTACCAGTTCTGAGAGTGAGCATCACTGTGCTGGGTCACAACTGTCCTGTGGAAGACATGTGGCTGGGACCCTCTCTCCACAGCCACGGCACAGAGCCTTGCATAAGAGGGATGGAGGGAGGGAAGAAGGAGCAATTGCTGGAAGAAGTTGGAGAGTATCCCCTGGACTGCCTTCAAATACAAATTCAGTGACATAGAACATCAAATGGGTTAGTTTTTCTGGCATGAAACACTACGTCTTATAGGAACACCTCTGCCACTGCCTCGCAGTGTAGACACCAGCAGTTGAGTACATGTAGTTACCGCTGTTTT